CCCCCCCCCCCCCCCCGCTTCATCACCTTAGCAGTTTATCTGACCGTTCAGTCGCAGTTACTTGTTCCGGCAGAAATTCGCTGACTGTTAGATGAGTTATGCACACACAAACACACGTGCACCGATTTGTTATCGAGCGACTGTTAAATAATTACTAAATTTAAATAAGAAATGCCCACAACTTTTGTCTGGAATAGCACTATAGGTAAATGAGACTATACATGTCCCGGTGAATCGTAGAATGTGATGTCCAGATAGAGTCAAATTCATTACATGATGACCTGCATCATATTCGAGTGTCCACCTTGCTCAGTGCAGCTTTTTCATGTTACTTAATAGATAAATTTGCTTACTGCCAGTTTACCGGAGGGATTGTAGATAACCAAAGGCTTTCAGATATAATTTATATAATTGGATGGCACTGCTGAAATTGATTTACTATAAAATAAAATTAATCGTACTTTGATAAACTACTTCCTTTAAAATCTGAGCATCTAATCTTGTATAAAGCTTACAAGGAATTTGCTACATAAATAAGAACACGAACGGATTCCTACCGAATACCTTAAACACTTTGTTCAGTCTCAGCGGTCTCCACCACAACTCGAACCCGAGACCATGCAGACAGAAATCAGATGTGCTGTCCGACCAATGATGATAACGAAGTTGCCCGAGCCTCACCCCGTTCAGGTTTTTGAGGATCACCATTGTGTTATGACTCGATTAACCAACACTCATGCTAAAGAAAACATCAATTGTCGCCAATTGTTACGTTTCATTTATGATTACAACTCCACCCTCCCGTACGATTGTGATTTACCGTGAATAAATGCCGGTCGCGGATCCAACAAACACTATGGGTGGCAACATAGACAAAATAACAACCAACAAATGTGTATACAAGTGTATATATTTGTTAGTACATACCGTCATCGGTACATACATGGATAGCGCTTGGATAACTTGAAAAATCATACACCTGAAAATCTGTGTTTGAACACCGTTACAAAAAAGGAACAGTGAAATAGTTCGAAAAAGAAGAGAGGACCATTGCAAGTTGTCTGTCCTGTTTCATGGGTTTGGCTTCTGTGCTTTGACTAGCCACCAAACACGCGCGCACGGACAGCAAGAAAGTGGGATCATGGGACTACAAGTTGGACCCGAGGGACAGAGCCAAACCTAGGTACAATTCTCGGCTGCGAGTAGGAATGTGTTGGAGGGTGTACTGGTTACAAGCGAAACATCGTTATTGTTGATAGTGGTCACGGTGGTGCTGGAGACCGTGTCGCCGGCACTATTGTTATGATTCGACTGGCATGATCTCAGGGTTGCTGTGATCATATTGCTAAATTTATCGTACAAATGGGACTCATTTCTATTCCCGATTGTTTGCCCCATGGTAATGTCATCGAGGGCACTATAATCGGTTTCCATTCTGGACCAGTTAGGTTCATCGGGGTTTCGGTAGCCACGAGTTCGAGTTCCGGGATCGGGGACGGTTTTCCCGGACGCGTGTTCGCCCTCTTTGGTCCGATAGGTCGTAGGATGTTTGCCTGTGGCTTTTTGTCCAGATATTTGACCGAAAGAAATGGGTGAAATGAATGGAAAAATTGGATAGGGGAACTGCCAGTGTGATGGGAGTGAAGATGGACCACTGGTGCCATGATGTGAAATGGACGGTGAGGTGGATGAAGATGGACAGTTAGACACAGTCGGTACAGGGGAACTTTGTAGGAGAGGATTATCTGGGCAGGTTGATGCAGTTGGATCCAGGCTCGGTTTCGAACCTGAGGAAACAAAAGTAGCTGTGGAAGCCATCGGAGGTGGTCGAGGCAGTGTTGATCCTGTGACCATTGCGAGAGCAACGGCGTTGCGATAGGCCTCTATTGTTTCGTGATGTTGCTGTAAATAAAGAGAAAAGTTCATAGTTAGATGGTGAATGTTTGAATTAGCCCATTCGGTTTTTCACAGGCACCAGGCCTTGTTGATGATGTTGCATGATGTTAGAAAAATTCATAGATTATTTGGTCTGTGACACAATGATGGACGATTTATGAACGGTTTTAAGGCAAATGGAACTATTTATTAATAGGAAAATTCTACTCTTACGGGGAGAAATAGACGTACTGCACTGTCTGTCTGTCTGTCTGTCTGTCTGTCTGTCTGTCTGT